CCCACCTCACCCACGCCAGTCAGTCTTCAACACCCAGACAGAGAAGTTTAGTTGAGATCACTCCTCTCGCGCGAACGCTCAGATATATACGTAGCTGCTCGCTCGCCTCCCTCAAACTTTGGTTATTATAGTGAAGTGGCGGGTCTTGGGAGTGAAGGTGATTACTACTCATCTAAACTTCGTATATTGCAACCGTTGGTTCTGTTGTGATATGAACAACGCTGTTACGGATCCCAGGACGCAATGCTTGGACAAGCTCCACAGTGAGGGGAAAGTGTGACGAGGCGTAGGGGAACTTGTATCTGGTGTAGAGATTTTTGAAGTATTAGTGTATTTGCAAGTGTTTATGTGTATACCAGGCTGGGAGCATAAGAACCATACACCACTCTAACATGACCACAACTCTCACTTCCTATGGAATACTGGTAAGTTTTGCCATCTCGAGAACCCTCGAAGGAGAGGCTCTTGGCCCAAAGAACTGGCCATGACCTCCCCTTCCTTGGATCGGAACTGATTACCTCATGATTTCTACGGGTTTTCACTCCCTATGAATAATAATAATGTCTCAAGAAGGCATCCAATAATTTTTATATTATTATTATTATTATTATTATTATTATTATTATTATTATTATTATTATTATTATTATTATTATTATTATTATTATTATTATATTTTAGAGTTGCAACCCACAACCCCGGGTTGCGCGCGTGTGCGCGTGTGCGAGGAATGGCAGGCTCAAACAGAAAAAGGCAGTAACAGTTTTATTGAGGGAAACAACGCAATGCATTGTCCAGTGTGATCCCTTGTAACCTTGGGACAATAAGTTTTATGTGGTAAATATTGAGTTTTGCGAAAATTGATAATGAAATGTGTATAATATTGATGGGTTTATGCAGTGGAGTTCATTTTATTTTGTACAACTTGGAAAAACAATTTTATTTTTTTTTGTCCTTAATAGAAATATTTAGAAAAAAAAAACTTGTTTAACTATTGCAACCAGCCAACCCTAGCCCCACTCAACATAACTCAACATAATCCAGTGTACACTCAGGAGACATTGGTTTTATAGGAACTGTTTATCTCACTGAGCCAGCGAGTCGTGTGATTCACGAAATCGTAATGACACGATTGCAAACAAACCATACCACGGGCGGGGATAGAACCCGCGATCAGAGAGTCTCAAAACTCCAGACCGTCGCGTTAGCCACTGGAGTTTTGAGACAGGTTGTTGATGTCGCTACTTAGGTAGCGTTGAGGTCTAATCGGGTGAGTGGTTGTCAACTTTCCTTCAAAACAGTTTAGTTGCTCATGCCAACCCTTCAGAAATCCGGCCCTGATACGGCTGCTGAAGGTTCTTGATTCAAGGAATTGGATGGAACAGATTTTATTTCCTGTTCCTCAGGCGCTGTATGACATTTATGAGTTTAGTGCTTCCCCGCAAATATAATGATAATAGAGACTTTAGGGGTCTTACTTCTACTTCTTTGACTTTGAGCGAGTGATTGCTAGACCTGCAATGTCAACAATTTGACATTGATTTTGATTTGGATGACTAGTAGTGATATAGTTTTATTTATTATTATAGTCGCTTGAAAACACTAAACCCATAGGGGTCATACATTATTATTATTATTGTAATCATGGGGAGCGCTAAACCCGTAGGATTATACAGCGCATGTGGGGGGGATCTGGAAGGTATTCAGACTTAATTCAGGGAACTGGAGCACAGATCCAATTCCCTAGATCAAGAGCCCCTCACCAGCGTCAAGGAACCTCTCTTGAGGGGAGGGGTCATACAGTCCGGGAAAATGAAGGATAATCAGACTATATGAGGAAGACAAGGGGCGATGTAGTTCCATACATCAAGAGCTCTACTCCAGCATCAGAGCTGTTCACTTTGAATTTATGCGTTTTTTTTTAACATAGAACGTGTCATGGATACTAGTGTGTATTGTAACACCTTTGTTCATTATATTTTAATACCTTCCTTCATTATTATATATAAAAAAGTAAGCGCCAGATCCGTATGGGTCATAGAGCGTTACATAACACCTAGCTGTGATGACACAATAAGACTTTGAATTGGTTATTCTTGTTGCATAGGTGTATCCACGGTGTCTTGCTACACCTCATGTATTTGTCACGCTGTTATTATAATTTTATTCACGAGGAAGCGCTAAACCATTAGGCGTCTTATGACGGGTGGTGAATGGGAGTTAATCAGGTTTGATCCAATAAAGGGGATAATAGGTCCAATTATTTGGCTCCATTGCTCGGCAGCATCAGGTCATTCCCCATCCCCCTACCCTCCCACCAAGAAGGGAACTTTATGATAGCCCCTAAATATCTGTACCTGCCGACTGTTATTTTTATTATTATTATTATTCATGGAGAAACGCTAAAACCGTAAGGGTCGTACAGGTTCTAGGGAATCGGAGGCAGTCAATCTTGATCCACAGGGAAGCAGCGGCGGCGAGAAGGAAGGAGGTTTATGAAACCCCTACATAATCTCCATTATCCCCCTTATGCCCCAAGTAAAAAACAATAAAAACTCAGCTTTAATCCAAGCCCTCTAGTTTCCCTTTCGAACCAAATGGTCACCACTAAACCCTTCCTGTAGAGAAAGTCTGGAGCCGCCACTGAAAGAGAGGGTACCTCCAATTGCCTGGATCAGAGCCCTTCATCAAGGTACCACCTCGTAAGGTCTAACAGTTCTGATACTTCATTCCGTTCTTTAGTCACTAATTTATCTAGCCATAGTGGACGAAATAGCATATTGCCCACATACGAAGACATACAATTCAAGCTTTTTTATTGAGGTTTCGCTCGATCAAGTTATAAAACTGCACAGTGAAACGCTGTCCCAGTAAAAGTTTGTACCCTCGTCTACAGGATATGTACATCGAGAAGTATATACACTGAGAGGTATATGTCTCTCAGTGTATATACATTAAGAGTTTGCTTTAATCCCTACTTTAGTAATTAAAGCATTGTTGATTGAGGGTGAGTAGGTGACCTACAGCCAGATAGGCTTTAAACCTAATTAATCAGCTCAACCTCTGATGCTTTCAGCCTGTTAGTGAGGGTATACTAGGTACATACATGTGTTTGACAGTCATGTTCTCTCATTGTTATGTAAACATTCCTCTTAACAGTATGAAACAACCTATATCACATGCTGAATTTTGATGTAGCCTACTTTTTTTGTTTAGATATCCATAAGTTGAGCAATTATTAATTAGATAATGTGTGATAGTTAATTTAATACAACAATTGATATAAATTTATTGAGCTCAGGTCCTGATCTGAGTTGATCAGTAATTAATTTCTTACAATGTCCAATATTATGGCATGGACATAGTTATATTTTGTGAAAATGGTAAGAAACATAACGTAATCTGCGGAAACCCAACCTAGAATAAGCTAACGTAACTTAACCTTATTCCGCTAGCGGTAGATATGGGAATGGCGTGCCTCTGTTTACGTTCGATGTGTTTCTGCTTACGCTGCTGTGATTTGTCAGGCGCATTACACTACTCGATACTAACGGTTGATTAATTCTAAAGTTCCGCTATTGTAGAAATATATTTATTTGCTATTATCTCTCAAAATAAAAATGTACACAAGAAATAACGATATTGCCAGGCTAGAGATAACATGATTGACATAATACCATAATGCCTGAGTTATAACCAGCTATTTAAGCCACCTGCATCATTTAAGAATCTTACATCATAACAGTATGTGCAGTTGAAGTTATCTCATCATGAGAGTGGCTGTAGTTTGTAGTTCAGTGGTAGAGCTCTCAGCCTACAATGAAAGGGACCCAGTTTGATTCACAGACAGGGCGAGAGGTATGGGAGTTTGTTGACACCTGTTTTCCCTTTTCACCTGTTGAAGGTAGCATATACACCTTAGGGTTAAGCTGAAATCATTGCTATCGCTAATGCTTTCAGCTTACTAGGGACAAAACCCTCCTGATTGTCATCTTTTGGAGATCTGGAATTTTCCTAGGAATCTATTATGCAGTGATCTTTAGTATTTTAAATGCAGCGAAAACCTGCGAATAAAAAAAAAGCCTGGCTTCAGGTGATCGTCAAAGTCCCGTGTAGTGACGAAGGAAACGCCACAGTTCGCTCTTACCTCCTAAGTTGTGAATTAACTGTGTGTAAAAAAAAAAAAAAGTAGTTCCATTGTATTTCAGATTAAATGTGGTCATTTGCAGCACAGGTGGGAGGGTAATGAACTTTCCAAAAACAGATGGTACTTCTGACGTAAGTAAAAGTGATACAACCATAATCATAGCTATAAAAAATTGTAATGGTAAGAAAAATTATGAATTATGCTGAACGGTTAGCTTTTATATAATGTACTACGTTGTGAATTATAAATACTCTATAATGTATTAAAAAATTTATTCGTAAAGTACATATGCTGTAATCTTTACATACAGCGCATGGAATAGTAGAGGCTCGATCCTCCGTCTGCTAACCGCGATACAAACGCTTCCATCCAGTGAAAAATATTAGTTACTTTGGTATCATTGGCAGGAATATCTTAGGTGTTAGCCCCTTTATTAAAAAATACAAACCCATTTCCGGACGATAATTTGAGGATAATTATTGCACTCGTGGGAGATCCTTAAACTCGTAAGAGTCATACATCACTGGGAATGGGAGGCAGTCAGATTTGATTCATGGAGAGAGTAGCTCCAGTTTCTTGGATCAAGAGCACAAGAAACCAGAATAACACATCAACGAGCACGACCAAATAGTTGAAGAAGCACATGATCAGTGTTTTTTAATTGATAAACATTTAGTGCTAATGAAATTCTTTGGAGTGGGGGTTGATGAAGGACTCTTGGAGTGGGGGTTGAAGGACTCTTGGAGCGGGGCTGGTGAAGGACTCTTGGAGTGAGGGCTGGTGAAGGACTCGTGGAGAGGGGGCTGATGAAGGATTCTTGGAGTGAGGGGTTGGTGAATGTTACAAAAAACGCGATTCTAAAAGCTTCGAGATCTCCAGTGAATACTAGAAAGGACCGCCCTTCTAGCATCCAGCCTGTTACTGGGTTTTCGTAACAAGTAGTCAGTATCCTTGTCCAATTATCCATTAAAATTCAGTATTATTCAATAGTGCTTCAGATTACAACTGGTAGGCTACTAACTTGAGAAATTAAAATTTAATAAATTTATTAAGTCTAGAGGTATATTATCAAATTAAATTAAATTAATCACAGTAATCAAAATATTAATCTCTCTCGTATACAATATTATTGTGCTGAAAGCACATATCACATTTATAATTCTTAAGTACCGTCTGGTACATTAACATTTAATAAGATATTACAAATATGTACAAGTAAGTTTGTGTATGCGTGTAAGTGCTCTAAGTAGTTCGTTATGTCTCACGACTCGACTAGAC